GTAGGGGTTTTTGTTGTTTGTTTGTTTTTTAGGAATATAGAAAAATCAGTTGGAGCAACATTGACTCAAATGTGTTACTGAGGAGCAGTACTGATTGCAAAGTTGTGCAATTCTAACAGATCTACTAAGCCGCTCAACAAATCTCCTACGGATTTTATAAAGAAGAAAATTAATGAATGGGTTACAACTGTAGTTATTAAAGGTTCAAACTATACTGTAAAAAGTGATGCCTAAAATTCCCCATTAAATTCTACAAGGTGTCAGTGTGGATTTGATTTAAATCACTAGTCAGGAAGACTCGATTTAATCATGGATTTCTACATAAAAGTGCATTCTTGTTGGTTGTTGTAACCTTAATACATATTCTTCACAACTCAGAGGTAGATGTAGGTTTCATTTTTAGAAGGTACAAACTATACATTTTTAAGTGATTTATTTTGAAAACTTTTCAGATGAGTTTTACAGCTCTATCGGAAAATGAATGATTGGTTATTTCATTTACCATAGGTAATTGAAGCAGATATTTATGAAGTCATTGGGAGGTGAATTATCTCCAATTCAACAGGTTAATCATTAATATTTGGGGGATTTTCTTGCCATGCTGTATTAGGAGGAGAACATCACCAGACAGGCATTTAAATTGTTTTATTTAACTAAAACAACAACGTTATGTATTCTGGATTTTTTTTCTTCAACAGCAAACATATAATATTTTAACAAAAGAATTATATGAATTTTTGAATTTAGTTAAAAACTAAACTATTTTAGTTAAATATTCAAGTTTTTTAAAATCAGGTAAATTAAATATTTAAAAAAAAATTAAATCGACTATGTCAGCCAGGTCAACATGAGAAAACTTAAAATATTGGCTTCTGCAGCTAACTCAGTCATCTTCACCTTAATTTTCCTGTTTGTTCATAATCTGGAAAAGAAAAACAAGCTTTCCTGCTTTTTCAGGTCCCAAACAATTTCTCAATTTGGAATGAATTAGTCCAAAGGAAGACTACACCGGCAGAAGAAGCTACTACTGTTAAAAGTGAGATCATCACTTCAACAGTCTATGAATCCAAGTGCTTAAGTGACTTCCACCACTTCACTGGTGTGACTTTCTTTAAAACATCATCAGCAAACATATATTTCTTGGATGGTTCACTCTTAGCTCTGAAGTTTATTATAGTTGGCATTATGGAGGGATGATTGCTGGATGTCCATGTCATAGCCAACTCTTCTTCAGCAGTTAAGGTTTGACCCTGGTACCGAGTATTCAAAATATTTGCAAGAAAATGAGCTGGAGATAGTGCTTGTTCCATTCGTTTTTTTAATGCTTGTAATTTAATTCTGTCATTGCATATTTCTCTTTTTAAGATCTCACTCAGTTCCTTCCGAATTTCAACAGCATCAGCAATAAAACAGCTATTTCCCTGCATTTTGTTCAAGGCTACAGAAATAGGCTTCAGGGTACTCAGCATGTGTTCAATATTTCTCTTAAGCCCAATGTTGAGAACTTTGGCTGTGACCATGCCTTCTATTTTTTCACAATTTTGTTCAGAAACTGTCATCAGATTAGGCCAGTTCTTGATATAGTGCTCAAAACAGTCCACTACTGAGTTCCATCGTACATCTTGTGGGAGAGTTAGCTTGGTTCCTCCCACGTTTTTCAGAGCAGCTGCTGCAAAGTGGTTGTTACAGAAGTATTTTGCAATTTAAACAACATTAGCCTTTATTTCTGGAACACTGAAGTCTTTGGCTAGGAGGTGCATCAAATGAGCACTGCAACCGTATGTTATTAGCTTGGGACTCTCTTCACTCTCTTCTAAATATTTTCTTCTCATCTTGGATACATTTGCAGCATTGTCTGTGACCAAGCTGCGTACTAGACATTTGAATTTTTTTCACAGTTTGTTATAGCTTTTACTGCTACTTCTTGTTGGTATTCTGCTGTGTGTGCATTTCCTGATGTATCAATTGTTTCTGTAAGGAAGACATTCCCTTCTTCTGTTGTCACACAAGCACATACAACAGAATCATTGTGGACATTGCTCCACCCATCAAGACTCAGGTTAACAATTTCACCCTCTAGACCTTTTGCACACTGCTCAATTTCTCTTTCATATACTTTATCCAGCAATTTGCCTGCAACATCTGCTCTGTTGGGTGCACTGTATACTGGTCTTAATGACTGAACTGTGTTAATGAAGGAGATCATAGGGGCAGTTTTTTCATCAATTACCTCCTTTTTTAATCCGCTGGTTCTTATCACAAACTTATCTATGGTTGTTTCTGGATGATGGAGATTTTTTTTTCCTTTTTGCTACAGGTGATATACTGTGGCGATGTGACTGAAACACTATCAAACACTATCATTGGCAGATAACTCTGAAACTATAGAAAATGATGGTGATCTTGAAGGTGGATAGTCTTCAGAATCCTGTATGTTGAGAATGAATTCTCCTAAACAAAATAAGTCAATGCAGTTATTTAATTATTATTACCAAACTGCTCATTTAGTATTACTCATTGCATTCACTGACACTCAGTACTACTTTAAAGGTGAAATTGTAAAAGGAAGAACTGCCTATTTCAGCTATTTATTTTTTTATCACAACTGCATCTAAAATGATAGTACCATCAAGTAACAACTATATTTTTTGCTCAAACATGAGAATTCAAGACTAATGCAGAAGAAAGACAGGCAGTCTTTAAGAAAGAACATGAAGATCTTGCATATTCAGACATATTCCTTTCATCATCTTCAACTCAGCTTCCTCCTGAAAAGGAACACTTCTCATGATGATATTTCATTTGGGCAACCAGGCCTTGCATTTCTTTGTTGCACTGTTTGCATTTTGCACGCATGCCTGTCTTACCCACAGGTAGAGGAACTTCATTAAAATATTCCCAAACTGGGTCTCCCTTACAGCCTGCTGCCATTATAGGTTTTCCCTTCTAGTGTGAGAATGGTATGGTAGATCTCAAATCAATGAAGGCTACACTCAGAAAGACCTCAAGGCTTCTGGAATATGCTGCTCAAACAGTTTCACTTTTGTTTCTACTGCCTGTCCCTCCCTTCTCACATTTATCTCCAGACTACTTCTCCTTGTCCAGATCTATTCCGCCCCCAATAATCTTCTATTCATTCAACTTTTTAAAACTTTGCACTTTTAGAGAGAGGTAAGGGATTGACTCTGTGTACACAAATTTGCAGAGGGACAATAGGGTTGAGGTCTGTTATTTCTCACCTCTATATATTATTTATTTATTTAAAAACATTTTGCTGTTGGGGGGAGGGATAGCTCAGTGGTTTGAGCATTGGCCTGCTAAACCTAGGGTTGTGAGTTCAATCCTTGAGGGGGCCACTTAGGGATCTGGGGCAAAATCAGTACTTTGTCCTGCTAGTGAAGGCAGGGGACTGGACTCAATGACCTTTCGGGGTCCTTTCCAGTTCTATGAAATAGGTATATCTCCATAACAAGTATGTTCTCTCTGGAGCCACAAATCCACAGTTTGAGAACTGCAAAACTAAGCATCTCTGATGGTATCTTCTAGACTGAGCACTGAGTTCTATTGAGTAGATAGAAAGATTAATTTAAATAATCTATACAGAAGCCTCTGGAACTCCTTCAGATTGAGTTCCTAATCCATGAACTATTGGAACTCATTTACAAAACTTTTCTTAAACATTACATGAATATATTGTCTCATACTATAGAATTAGAATTTATAATTCCTATTCCATGATGAGATATTTTTGAGCTATAATGTATCTCAATTAAAACTATCTTTAGATAGTTTTTTTCCTCAAAAAGCATTTTTATCAAAAAATCCGATTTTTTTTTTTTAATCATTGATTTTTATCCACCCTGCAAGGTGTGGTGTAGAAGTGTACTATTCATTTCTGGCACTTTGCTTTATTCTCCCTAGTAATATCCGTGGTTTGATGGGCTCTGAGGAGATATAAGTCTTCTCTCTTCCTCCCCTCAAACACACACACATACATGCAGAGCATGGTAAGAACCAGCTTTGGTGATGGAGCACTGAAATCCATGAGAGATGAAGTGCCCTCTTTAACAAAGAGGATTTGGCTCTTATACTCTTCTCATGCTTTGAGATCACTGTCCTTATGAACACCAAAAATTACCTGGCTTGCAAATCAAATATATAATGGGAAGTCCAGGTGCTAACCCTGGGATATCAAGTTAGAAATTCAAATTACAGGTACAGAGGATGCCATTAAAAAGCCAATATCCACTCTCCCAGCTATCTGTAGTCACCTGCAGGAGATCTTCTGCGGCTGAATCTGAGCAGGCTGAGAGACATGAGAATGGCTGTTAAAAATGGAAGGTACACGTTTTTCAGCATTGCTCCAAATCAAGTTCTAACTGGAGAGTGGCAAATGTTGTTTTTAATGCTACATGCTGTGAGGATAAAGATCTTCTCTGTGTTGGAATCCTAAACTGAGTTAGAATATTGTGGGTGTATCTTTATTATGAAGAAGATTTTGCTCAGCAGAGCTTTGCAATAAATGAAGTTTCAAACTTCTTCGGATAAATTTGTTTTTATCTTCTGAGATTGAATCAAAAGAAAGGAATGTAGCTTTTGATTATGCAATCATCTAAGATGTTGCATGGGCGTGTAATTCATAAGGTAGCCCAGCTCTATTTAAACAAACCCTTGGGTTCAAATTAAATAGCTGAGCAATCCATGGATACTTCTAAAATATCCACATGGGAAGAGCTGTTTGACTACATTTTTTGTTGTGTTGTATAAACTAAAGGCAGAGCTACATGGGACAGAGAGGAATGTAACATAGTAATGATGATGCTCTTGCAAACACCAGTTTGACAGATGAAGATATGCAGGCAAGTTTAAACCAGGATGAAAAAAATTCTAATGAATCCTGAACAGCTACTTCAGAAGAAGTTATTTTCATTAATATTAAAATGTTCCTGACTTCAATGGTCAGTTAAATTAATATTGTTTTTCTTTTCTTCCCCTCTTAGTTAACACTGCCAATGTTTCCAGTTGTCGTGAAGATTGGACATGCTCATTCAGGCATGGGAAAGGTGCAGGTCTTATTTATATATATATGCTAGGGGTTTTCTGGTGCTAGTCTACATTTTAATTGTCTAAATATTAAAATATATAAACTTCTCCACAATAGGTGTTAAAACTTGTGAGCTGGCCAAATTCCAACTCAGGGTCCTGATTCGGCAAAGCCTTACTTGGGTCCCTATTCAGGACAGTACTTAAGCATATGCTTACATCCCCAGTCAGCTAAATTCTGGCCTTGAGAAATGGACTTAAGCACATGCTCAAATGCTTTCCTGAATCAGGGCCTTATATGATAATTCTGTGGCCTGCAGCAGAATTACTTGAAAAGTCAGGTTTATAAGCACAAGTAAAGATTTGCAGGTCTGAGAATCTGGTGAATAAATTCTCCTACATCTTCCTAAATTCCCATAGTAGTTTCAATTGGATACAGTATTTTTCTTCATTTCCTGTCCTGTAGAGTTGCAGCACACTTGCTGCATTCAATCCAGAGGCAACTGCATTTCACTGGTGGGTGAAGCAATTTCTAGATCACTTACATCTCACAATGGTGGTTTGAGTGTATGACTCAATTATGCTTCCACTGATGTCAATGGGTGCAGGTACTCAATTGGTAGACATTTCCAAAGTGCTAAGAGATCTTCAGATGAAAAAGGATTGAACAAGGGCAACGTGTCCTTATCCCCTTGGATTTCCAAAAATTCTATGAATTAAATATCAGCCGTTGAATAGTAGAAAATTGATTTTTGTCATTTTGCATATTTATTGATTAAAATATTTTATCTTTGCATTTCAGATTTGTTAAGGAAATTATTTAATTTCCTTGATATTTAACATTTTGCATAGCTCTGAGCCTCCTGTATACAAGAAACCTTACCTACTACAAAAATTATGGACACAAACAGAAATATCCCATGATGGAACAACGTAATTGCTTAAACATCCTTACTAGGAGTTGATTGGCTTAAGCAACCAATCTCTTTTATTAATTTAAATTTTTGAATTTAAAAAACAAAACCAAGAACCTTTTTATCTTATCCACATTGTGACTTTACCACGCTGGATGTTCTTACTCTGTTGATTTGGGGAAAGTTTATGAACTCCTCTTTGTGTGAGGGATTTTTAATGTTAGTCACTCCATTATTCCTCCTCTCCCACCTACATTGGTTCTTTAATGGGATTTTTTCTATATCATCTAACTTTTTCCATATATTCATAATTTTTCCACTATAGTGGCCAAATAATGTTCTCAAATATATGCATGCGACTCCCACTTAAATGTTTATACCATTAAAGACTTTGGCATTAGTACATTGTATCTATCTATAGACTTGCTAGAAAAGGATTGAGGAAAAATCTGCCTTTCAATTCTTTTTCAAAATTTTCTCATGATCTGGAATAGGGGAAAGTGAATGGTTTTATTGTGAACTCACAATTTAAACTGTAGACAGGAGGAGCAATTGGGAATGAGATTTTACAGATTTAGTTAAATTATAATCTCTTTACTCTCATCCATTTTGCAGATCAGAATCTTAATAAAAAGGCATTTTATTAATACTTGTAAATTCAGCCTGGTGTATAAGAAGTGTAATGCCTGTGGAAATCTCTGGCCAAATACATTTCAGAATTTAGTGTAATAGAAGTGCCAGGTACATATTATCTGCATTCCATAACAGTTGCTCTGAGGGAATGTTACCCGTATTTGTACATTACCTGCTGAATGCCAAATCAGTGCAGTATCATTTTTCTACTTGTATATATTTTCTGACCAGCTTACACAGATTCCTAACCATCACCATTGAATTTGGCCTATAAAATCTTCTAGTTTGTTGGATAAAATTTTGATTTCAATCCAAAAGTTGGTGGAAATGGCTAAAGTTGTGATAATATAATTGGGCTGCTTTGACATCAAAGCTGCTACAGGCTTTGAATCCAGGCACTTATAGTTAACATTGAGCTTGGTCCAATTCCCATTGAGTCAGTGATGAAACTCCCATAGACTTCAGTTGGAGCAGGATATGGCCCACTGTGCAAGTTACTGCACTCAACGTTCTTCTGATATACATGCTTACACCTTGAAAAACTATGAACTCATCCTTCAAGATACTGAGCTATTTTTTTTCAGATGATGAGTGCCCTCCGCTTCTATTGAGCCTGAGTTCAGTTCAGAACACTTAGGACCTTGGAGGCAGGGCTGGCTCCAGGCACCAGCTTGCCAAGCAGGTGCTTGGGGCGGCCACTCTGGAGAGGAGCGGCACGTCCAGTCATTCGGCGGCAATTCGGCGGATGGTCTCTCACTCCCGCTCAGAGCGAAGGACCTCCCGCCGAATTGCCGCCGCAGATCGCGATCATGGCTTTTTCTTTTCCGCTTGGGGTGGCGAAAACCCTGGAGCCGGCCCTGCTTGGAGGATTGGTTCCTGACTAGCAAAACATTTTTAAAACATTGATGTAAAGTTTGTGTACACCCAACACATGCTTTTGCACACATTCAGTTTTCACATTATTCCTCAAAATCTTCATTAGTATGCCTGTCACCTTATTTAAAAGTACAACACAGATACTAAATACCCAATAGGTGTATTTACTTATCTCAAAATTAAATATGAAGTCCTATAAGCAACCATTTGTGTTTTGGGCTCTAATGAAGATGCCTGAAGGCCAGAACAGCTGAACCATATTGGATTAAGACTATAGAATTCAATCCTTTAACAAACATCTCCCAGTCAGGAGAGGTGTCTTGCAACATGATGGTATAAACAGACTCCAAAATTCATGGTTAGATAAAGCAATTAGGTTTTTCTTGTTTGGTTGGGTTGGGTTTTTGTATTCCTTTCCTTCCTTCCTCTTATTATAACTGATCCATCCCACACAGAAGTACTATTCACTGCATCCTTAAAACTGAAACGCCAAAGTGCTACAATAAAATACCTATAAAGAACTATTCCTAGAGATTGTTTATGTGACACAAAAATAAACATCAGTATTTTAAAAGGGTTTCCTCAAAGAAAATGTAATGTCGATACTTGATAATTGCCTTCTACAACAGCGAATGTTAAATTTCTGGCTAGAAATTATACATCTTATTGCAGGAATATTTTTGCTATATTCTAGTTTTGACAACTACAGCTTTTTTTACAGATCAGATAAATTGTCCATTCTTTGTTTTGTAATCTGACACTATAAAAAGTAATATTTCTCACAGGAGTCATTTGCAATTGCATTTTACAGTACATACTTAACTATTGTTCTTGTTGTTTTTCTCTTCCTCATGCTGTTTGTGTTATGACAACAGGTTAAGGTAGACAACCACTACGATTTTCAGGACATAGCCAGTGTGGTAGCACTTACCCAAACCTACGCCACCACTGAACCCTTCATAGACTCCAAATACGACATCAGGATCCAAAAGATAGGCACTAACTACAAAGCATACATGTGAGCCAAAAATAATCTCCTTTCATTTTCTGATTTCAATATTTACAAAGCACCACCAAAGTTCACTTGATTGAAGTCTAATACCTCTTTTTAAATAGTCCTCTATTATCAGCACTTTGGGGAGGAAGGTATTTTAGCCTTTTTTTAATTTGTTGATGGACATTTTCAATCATTTAAAAAGCTTTTAAAAAGTGTTAAAAGTATCTCAGCTGTTTCATGTTTATATTAATAATGCATTTTGTTGAACTCTATTTGTTACAGAAATAACAATGGAAATGCTCTGAGAGAATAAAATAAATAAATGTGATATTTCAAATGGAAAGCATACAGAGGTTATAAAAATGGAAATTAAAAGGGGTCTTGTGGAGAGTGCAAAAATGGACTTTACTTCAAAAGGTTTAAACTTTGAAGGATGGCGAAGTACTTTCTAGTTATTTTTTTGGAGGGGGACTGGGGGGGAGGAATTAAACACATGCTTAGGACATTCCAGAATGGTTACCTACAACTCCCATGTGGGCAGCGGTGAAAGTAAGTTAAAGGACTTACCGGTACGCTGGAGTCCTGGGCAGGGGCGGGGCCTCAACCGGAAGAGGTAGGGCCTTTAAATCAAGTTTTAAGGGCAGTGGCAGCTGGGAGCCCCAGGACTCAGGGGAGATTTAAAGGGCCCGGGGCTCTGGCCACCACTATGGCAGCGGAGCTCCGGGCCCTTTAAATCTCCGAGGGAGCCCTGCCGCCCTACCCCGGGGCTCCGGCAGCCGGGCTCAGGCGGCGATTTAAAGGGCCAGGGCTCCCCGCAGCGACAGGAACACCAGCCCTTTAAAGCGCCGCCTGAGCCCGGCTGCCGTAGCCCCAGGGTAGCAGCAGCAGGGCTCTGTTAGTGATTTAAAGGGCCCGGGGCTCCCGGCAGTGGCAGGAGCCCTGGCCCTTTAAATCGCCAGCCTGGGGAAGCCCGTTGGGTCCAGCATGGTGTACCGGCTTACTTTCACCTCTGCATGTGGGTCAATTCTTTCATAGCAATTTCTCAAAATAGTTTCAGGGAACCAACAACAGGAAGTGTGGTCTGATTGTTTTATAGGTGACTTTTTAAATCCCTTCAGCAACAAGACCCAATTTTATTATTAAAAAGCTTTGAGACTACTTTAGTTCATTTTCATTCACAGGGAGACCTGAATGTATAACTCTTAACTAATGGCACAGAATATTTCATTCTAACCAGCACCTGATATAACTGAGGCCCCAATCTTGTAATGACCTTTAGACAGATGTACATAGAGCTTGGAGTGGGTGCTCACAGCTCTTTTCAGGGGTCACTGCAGGATCAAGACATAAATTTGTTACTCATAATTCAGTTATTGATGCAATGGACAATATATATATTGTATGCACCTAGGGATTCCCATGATTTTGGAAAGGTGAAGGAATTCTTGTACATTAAATTTTTTTATGTATTGCTATATTTGAGCTAAAGTACAGCCTAACTCCTAATTTTTATTGGGTTCCAAGCAAACCAGAAATACTGAGATTAACACATCTCTACCATTTGTTTCAGAAAATGCTGCATTAATACACATAGTATGGAATTAAGCAAGAATACAAAAACACAGGAAAAAGAAACAAATAGCAAATGAACTTCTGTAACAGAAAATATTCACTGGGACCAAGGCTGGGTCTCTTGGAAATCCTTTCTGAAGATAATTCTTACAATAAAATTTCAGCAAAATGTCAGTAAAATGCTTTAAGCATTTTTGCAAATTTTCAGCCACAGTTACCAGTTTTAAGGTAGATGCTTAAGAATTTGAAAACAGCCGCAGCCCTATATGACCTCCTTGTCAGCATCTTTCATCTGATGGCTCCAAAGGAGCACAGTTTTAGCAGTAAAGTACAACTGCTGAATGGTTATGACACATACCCCTGCAGGAGCAGCAGATGCAGAGTCCAGATGAGCAATTCTTTGAGGTGTTGTACCTCATCAACAGTGAAGTTGATGGGAGTTTAGAGCACTCTGTGCTTCACAGGGCTGGGCCCTAGATTTGTTGCATAGACTGCAGACCAAAATTATCTTAGGAGACCTCAAAAACTGAATTAAAATAGTGGTATTTTTTTTTTTAGACTTTTTTAAAAATCTCCATTTTCTCCAAGATCGGGGATTGTGTCTGAACCCTGTGAGCCTAGCTGTTATTCCCCTAGATTCTTATGAAGAAATATTGATCTATTGTTATATACTCTAAAGCAGGGGTCGGCAATGTTCGGCACGCGGCTCGCCAGGGTAAGCACCCTGGCGGGCCGGGCCAGTTTTATTTACCTGC